AGTGAAAGCAGGTAAATCATTTTTGGCAACCCAGATAAAGGCATTCGTGTTTGTAAGTGTCAGCACTGTATACAGATTGTTAAATGTAGATCACGGATTCGAGGGAGGGGACTTCCTTCACAACTGAAATAATAGCATATGTTTTTTTTAAAGTACCAACTATCTTTTTTATTCTCCGTGCTCTTCCATACACATACTGTAACTTACATTTCAGATAGCAGTCTATCTGAAATGTAAGTTACAGTATGTGTATGGAAGAGCACGGAGAATAAAAGAAAATAGATGTGTGCATTTTAAGCTCAACTAAATCACAGGCCCAAGACACAGACTCAAAATGGGGTTTATAGGCTATTTAATACCTTTTTTCTCCAAGTGACATGACATAGCAGGGATTAAATGCCACATGTTCAGCTGAAATTATATAGATGCCTTGCTATACTTCAGGCTGGTTTAAAGCAATAGAATGGAGACTGAAAAACATCTTGCTTAAATATTTACTGAATGCTTTGATCATACAAATACAAATGATAAACCAGAATGCTAGTTGGTATATGCCAGTGGTGGCGGACCTATGGCACGGGTGCCAGACATGGCACTCGGAGCCCTCTCTGTGGGCACACGTGCCGTTGCCCCAGCCTCGCCTCCCCCTGCAACCCCCTCCTCTTCAGCAGCCCCCCTGAAGGAGAGTTGCCCCTGAGGGTGGCCCACGCGGAGCAGCGCAGCCAAGGACATGGCAGCCAGGCAGTGTAGACAAGACTGCCCTCACACACCATTGTGCACAGTTGATGCTGCAGGGCGCGGGCAGAGGGCGTGACCACCATAGCGCTGCTGGGCTGCCTGGGCGATCTGCGGTGGGCCCTAGAGGCAGTGAGTGGCCCTGCGGGCAGGCGGGGTGGGAGATGGGGTGGAATGGGGGTGGGGTGGGGGTGGGGCGGGGGCGGGGCCAGTTTTTGGGCACTCGGTCTCTAAAAGGTTCACCATCATTGATATATGCTTTTCATATTGGAAACTATACTTTAAAAATGTTACAATTCTTACATCTTGGTATTTACTTGACACACTCAAACCAGGTGCTTTTAAAAAAAAACCCTTATTTTTCTGGATTAGCACATAGTGAGTTATAATCACTCATAATCCCATCTCATGCAGTTCTTATATATTAGTGTATTTATTAGCTGAACAGTTATAAAACTAGAAAAGATACACTAATTACCAGCTCAAATATGGATGCATTCATTCAGTGACCATTCAGTTACAGTGCTGCTGAAAAAGGATGAGTTATGATGGCTCCTTGAAACTGCAGTCACATGACAGTGATTCAGGCACTTGACAACCAGTGCACATTTACAATGATTGCAGCATCCCAATCATGTGATCGCCATTTACAACCTTCACAGCTGGTTTCCAACAGGCAAAATCAGTGCAGAAGCTGACAGGAAGTCACAAGTTGTGGTCATGTAACATTGCACTTAACACTGATTTGATTAATGACACCTGAAAGTGACAATGTAAGTCAGGCATGGTCACATGATGCTTCATTTTACAACTGCATTGTCTACGGTAGCAATGAAGCTGCCAATCCCAGTTGCAGTCTGTTAAGTGAAGACTACCTGTACACAAATGTGACCTTTACGTGCCTAATGTCTTCTCCTGTTGCTCTTGCCAATAAATGCAATCCATACCACTTGGGGCTGCTTACTCACTAGTTTTTGAAGGAATTTATACTTTATGTCTCCCAGGCAAATTAACTAATTTGTATTTCTGCAACCTTTTGCTTTCTAGCCTTCTAACAATTACATGTATACGTATATGGATCATGCCATTCTGGCAACATAGCAAGTGAATTAACCAAAATTGGTATTTATATATAATTGAGTACAGAGATAAATATGAACCTTAGTACTTGCTAGGTTCTGTCCTATTATTCTTTTACTAAGGAAAGGTGACATACTGCAATCAAGCATCTGCTCTCTGGCGTCTTCATTTGCAATTATGCCACAGAGCACATGTACTCTACAGATACCCTTTAAAATTAACAGAAGATGAGCACAACCCAGTGTTTTGTGTGTTCAACTGCCTAGAAAACAAAGGGAATGTGGGCTGGCAGGAAGCAATCTCACCAACTTTCTGGTTCACGACAACCAGATACTATCCACAAACAGGTCACATATATATCTACCAGTATAAAATGTTTATCTACCCTGGTTTAAGTTTACAGATTATTCATTCAATTTCATTCAGTATGTGATCCTGACCTATGTGTTCAATCTTTTTAAATCTTCATTAACATGTTTGACATGGGCAGAGGGGTTCATTATAGTGAAACTCAGCAATAGAATTATCAATAGCCCAGATCTTCGGAAAATAAAAGCTTAGTACACATATGCCCTACTTTTACCATACTGGTTCCCAGGGCTTTTTTTCTCATAGAACGCCCAGAACGGAGTTCCGGCACCTTTTTTGGATGGAACCTTGTAGGGTAGGCAAGGCGGGTTGTATGATGTGTGTGAGTTCTGGCACCTTTTTTTTTTTTTTTTTAGAAAAAAAGCACTGCTGGTTCCTATGGGAATCTTTAGATAAAATAAACCTGTCTTAGGATCCTAAAAATTTCACATTTTTAAGTTAAATTAAAATGTAAATTAAAACATTTTTTTCTAATGAGGTAGGTAGATTTGTTCTTCTGTAAATTGTCAGATATTACAAAAATATTCTATTCCCTGCAGAAGCATCTTTAAGATATTTTTTTGTTACCTGCCCAACAGATTACAGATGTAGTAATACTGAGCTGCCAGTAGAGTTTGCTCCATACACGCATATACTGTAATAAAATCTATAAAGCAGAGCAAGGCTATAGGTCATGTTGATTTGCTCTATTTTTCTGTATAATATTGCATTTTTAAAATAGATCATTACTACTAATGGACAACTGAAATAAAGGTTTACTGAATTGTCTTCATATACAGCCAGTTTGGTCTACTAGATAAGGAACCAGGCTAAAAAGCAGGAGACTGTGAGTTCAAGTTCCACCTTAGCTATGAAAGCCAGCTGCGTAGGCTTGGGCCAGTCACTCTCTCTCAGCCCAACCTATCTCACAGGGCTGTTATAGGAAGAAGGTGGAGGAAAAAGATGTGTTGGATATGTTCACTGCCTTGAGTTACTTATAAAAATAATAAAGGCGGGATATAAATAAATATTGTCTGGTTATATTAAGTTCTAGCATTAGAATATGGTTAAATTATGTAGCACTAAAAATAATTGTTATAAAAGCACAGCAGAAGACTTAACAGTAACTATCCTGTGTAATGAGTTGCTTTTGTATAGTCTAATAAATTTTACAATACATTTACATTTTTAGTAAAACAACTTAATTCCTTTACAGGAACCTGATTGACCATATTGCTTCCTTTTAAAAAATGTCCACTACCTGCAGATTTAGAATCCATATAAATCACTTTGATAGTGAATCAAATGACTTTAAACTATTTCATATGTAGTTGCAGGCAAAATTAGGCACCATAATATAATTGTTTTAGTGAATCCTTAGAATAGAAGCTGATACCTCTATGAAGTAGAGTTAAACAAATCATTCTGTAAATTTGAAGGCATTAATACTGTTATTTAGATGAATTTTTCATTCAATCAATAGTATGTCCGGTGCAAAGGTTTGGACATCCTTTTAGATAGTAGTCTCTAACACCTTCTTTTGGCAGAAATAACTTCAAGAATACAGGAGACTAAGTTCTAATCCCACTTTAGGCATGAAAGCCAGGTGGGGTGACTTTGGGCCAATCACTTTGTCCGACCAATCAATCTCTCGGGGTTGTTGTAGGAAAATAGGAGGAAGGAGTATTAAGTATGCTCACCATCTTGAGTTACTTATAAAGTAAAAAGAAAAAACTCATAAAAATGTCTTTGGTAGCCAGTTAAGATGCAGTGTCTGATGGAGAGAATATAAAACAAATAAAAGTCCAGGTGAAAGTCACAAAACAAATGCTTTACCACAACACTTAACAGTATTTTATACTGGGCTTTGATGGGCCTACTGCAATCATCTTGACTTTTGTTAAACACTCTTCACACAACCAGATGTCACTGCATTTAAGTCTCTCTGTAATTGCTTTTGGAATTTTTCACTCTTCCTTGCAGAAGCATTCTCCCTTAGAAATATTAAGAGCATGAGATCTCCCCGCTGAATTTTAGTAATATCCAAGGGCCACTTTTCTTATATTTCATGGTTATTTGCATGTATACTTCAAATAATTTATTACTAAACTTTTTTGGCTTCAATTTTCTTCACTGATATTTGTGTTCACGTTTACAGAAATTTGTTGTTTGTACTATTTAACTGTGTCACTTTTCACTTAGGGATTAACTGAAACATACAATGTAACCAAAGGGTGCCTGAATTTTAGAATACAACTTTATGAACAAGCACCAGACTATTTCTCCAAGCCTGAGAAGCATATAAATAATAACGACATATACATATACACATAGGATTTTGAGCAATGAAACTTGCCAATCTTGTGAATGCTCTCTGAGGCTATCAGGTTATGTTAGATCTGAAATCAAAACGTTTAAAAATACTAAAAGCTAATAATCACACATAATAAATAGTTCAAAGATACAACTTCACATAATGCATACATAGGTTTTAAGTAGGATTTTTCACTTAATTTCTGAACTCAAACTGTACCTTTCTTTCAGGATGCCATGACAGGATGTTGAAATTACATCATCTTGTATGAAATGTGTCACAATGAACTGTTAATAAAACCTTTTTCTGCATAACTCATTGGGTAGGAAATTTAAGTGCACTTTCTCTCTTTCTCTGTCTCTCTCCCAGTCGTGCAGATTACAAATTTGGGGTTTCAAGCTAGAAGAAAATATATGGCTGATCAGTCTGCCAATATAGACAAGTGTCCAAAACTGCAGAAATATTATGGTCAGAGTAAAGGCCCATAGAATTTAGACACATAAGACATTTCAATCTGGTATCTTTATAGTTTAATTATGCTTGCCATCCAGACTACCTAACCTGCCTTCAGATATGTTGGACTTTGACACTGGGAAATCACTGGAGCTTAAGTCCACAACATCTGGAGAGTACAAAATTGTGAAAAAATCTGCATATTCTTTCAACATAGCTTTAAAATAAAATACAGAGAAAGCAAACATAATTCTATTAATTCACCAGGTAGACATTAACAGTCACGGGCCTAAAAATAGAATTATTAAGGTTGATTTGGCAAATTTATTTCAACATCACCAGGCTTATTTTCCAAAACGACAACAGTTCAAATTTATGAGCAATAAAGACACAGCCCCTCATTTCAGTGAACACTCAATACATGATGAACAGCCTACAGCTTATCCTGAAACACTTGCAAAAAAAATTAAGCGAAGTGTCACTGGATTCTATGATACTGTTCACATACTAAAAAGTTTCAGGTTAGCTACAGTTCTTAGATTTGCCATTATTAATGCCAAATGGTGGTCTTCAATGTTCTATGTTAACTGATTCTTTCATAAAATACAAAATATTAGGATAAGCTTCTTGCATCCTATATAAAACAAGGTAGGCTTATAGAATTAGAATAATATATGCAATAAAATACATCATTGAAGCTTCAGATAGTGGAATTTAAATTTATGATTTGTTAAAACGTTTTAGCCTTTGTTAATTTTTGTAATACTCAAGAGCAAGTTATAATGTATAAAAGTTGGCAAATACTGCCTCTGTCATACAAAAACTAGACCAAACCAGATATTCTGACCTAACCAAACAGTAATGAACAGTATGATTGAATCATGTACACATTTCCACATACATAGATTTTATACATTCAGGATTCAAAAAAATATTTCCTGCTAGTAATCAACCTCAGTGTGGGTGTATAGCACCTGTTATTTAAGAATCACTATGTATTAAAAGTTTATAGTTCATTATATGAGATTATTACCTCACAAGAGATTTGAAAGATCATAATATGAGAGGACATCAGGCAATATGCAACTGTTTTTACTATTATAACAGTGTTTTATCACCATGATGTGCTTTTCAAAAACAGAAAAGCATTATAAGCAGCAATTAAATTTTACTTTCCAAAAAAAAGTATCTTGCAAAAGTCTACACATAACAATTTTTAAGAACATCACTGCATATCTTTACCAAATCTGTTAATACAGCTTTATTTACTCCTTATGGTGGGAGTATTCACATATATCATTGAGAGCTATGTGTAGTCCTGGTTCTTTTAGGCAAACATACTCAGGTGCAAAAAAAATGTAAACTCTAATGCTGAAGCTAAAGAAAATGATGCAACCAACCACACAGGTATTTCAAAAAGACAATGTCATTTTTTCACTGGATTTTTTTTTGCATTTAATTTTAGCATAATCAGTCTACGTTTGTATCAAGCCTAGAATAAAGCATTTTTAAGGTCCTGAAAAGTCAGAAATAAGGTTAAGTTACTATACAAGTTATAGCTACAAGGCAAATGGAAGCCAGTTTTTGTTCCAGGGAATGGTAACAGTCCCAGAGATCTGACTTAAGGAGTACCTTATCTTCCCCCAAAAGATAAAGGCACCAGTAAATTACTTAAGTTTAATGAAATTAAAGAATCAGAATAGTTTTTATTCAACATGGTTAAGCCACTTGCTCCAAGTTCCAATTTGTTTCAAACTGTTTTCACCCAAGATTTTGGACAGCATAACTTTTCAAGCCGATAAAAAATTTTCATTTTGTTAAATCTAGAAAAATTGAACATATTGATGGGTAAAATATGTGCACAGTTCTAGCTCAATTAGAACTTTGCTAATGTTTATGTAGAACAAAGCCACAGATAATTTAATGAATGTCCATATCACACTGAATATTTGCTGTGGAAGTCAAGTGGATAATTGTACACATAAAAAGTGTAGGCATCAAATAAAAAGAAAGCCAATTTATTGTTGTTTCAATTTAATATAACTGACCTTGAAGAGTAAATGACAAAATGTGTGTTCAAAGACACATCAGGACATTCATTCAGTAGCTAGCTCCTATCTTCAACCATAACTATAATCTATTAAAAATTACCAATCCTTATTTAACAAAATCTACTGGGTCAAATAAACTTTTAAATATAACCTAGTTTAACTTTAACACATTAGTGCTATGTAAAATTTTGATTTAGCAAATGTTGAAATATAAAGCAGCTCAAGTAAAATACTTTGGTTGAAATCTAAATAGTTAAAAAAATCAATATTTTAGTCATTTCATACATACTCACTGAAGCATGTGAAGAATTCAATTTTTTATTTGCAATATTCATAACCTATATTTCTATTCAGGAAGTCAGTTTCTCTCTAGAACATTGTTAATAGAACAAACGTTAATTCTACTGTGTGAAAGGGCTACAAATACATCAAGCAGACTACAGAAATTTTGATTTACAATTGGCCTAAGTTACTGGCTTATGTATTGTTCACCGAGCACAAATTTTAAAAATTGAATACTTAAATTGCTCAATCAATAATTTTACTTTCTTGTATTTTAATATTTCATTTCAGCCAATATATTTTATTGGCATGTTAGTTTAACCCTTGCCATCTAAAGATCTAGTGGTCTACAGTTCTGAGAGCCAATTTGTTGTTTTAATAAAACTTACACAAAAGTCAACTAGTCTGCCAGCAGATGGCACTCTATTTAATACTTGGCTTTTTTTAATAAGAACAATTAAGATAGTATCCAGTTGAAATGACTTCACTATGCAAACAAAATATTTATAAGGGAAAGCATTCTCCCCTTTAAAAATGGATTGTTACAGACAAGCCAATAAATAACACAATGTGAAACTAAGAAATCTGACATTTTGAACATGTATATATAAAAAAAGCACATGCTTTAAATGAGTTAGAACATTTTTATGAATAACTCCCTATATTAAAAAAAACCAGACCAACTGTGTTTGCAAGGCAAATGCCCAACTGCAAAACTGTGGATGTAGAATAAGGTATTTTAACCAACTTCATCCACTAACATATTTCAAAAACTGGCAAACTCTTTAGCAGTAAAAAATTCAATGTAGTGGGGAAGCAAGAGTTGGGCTCTTTACTTGAAATAAAGCAATCTTTTCTTAACACATGTAGCCACTTAAAAAAACTTTTTGTTTGAAATGTACGGAATGAACCCTAGGAAAAAAGACATGTAAAGGTCAATGAACACAATGATTTATTTAAAAAATAAAAATGTAAAAACGATTTAAACCCCTTTTACAGCCATGGAATCATTGTAGAAAAAAACGTGTAGATATTCCAAGTCCTTACAAAGTTAATCCCCTTTCCCTCCCAAGTTTTACTTCAGAATCATGACTTTTCCCTCCCAACCCCAAATAAACCAAAATTAAAACAATATCTCGTTCCTAGTATAAAAAACGACTAATGTCCAAGCAATAAAAAAATAGAGTCCATCAATGACTAACACAAAATCGTTGTGTGAAAGACCCAGTACATCTTCAGAAAGTGACACAGGCAGCAGAGCGACCCCACCAGGAACATTCGAGATCTGCTTCGCATCACTGGAACCTTTTGTATGAAGGTGCCTTTAGGCGAAGTGTAGGGGAAGTGTTGAAAGCCTGGCCCGGTACAAACGGAGAGCATACTCCATGCAGACAAAACTAACGTCCCCAGAAGGATCGGTGGGAATTTCCCGCTTAGAAAGAGCCGCCTCCATAACCTCCCCCGCCATAACCGCCTCTGTATGGTCCACTGTTACTGCGGGGGCCCCAGCTGCCGCCACCGCCTCCACCCGCACCGCCGCTCTTCATAGGGCCGTAGGAGGACTGGTGCTGGCTGTAGCTGCCGAAGCCGCCGTACCCGTTGCCATAGTCGCCGCCGCCGCTGCCACCTCCGCCGTAAGAGCCGCCACCGTACGAACCGTAGCCTCCGCCTCCGCCTCCTCCGTAGCCTCCGTAACTGTTATAGCCGCCGCCGCCGCCTCCTTTGGAGAGCCCGTTGTGGTCCCGGTTGCCGGCACCTCCGCCCCTTCCTCTTCCCCGTCCGCCCCAACTCGACCTGGAAGAGCCGCCGCCGCCTCCTGCTTGGATGTCTTCTCTCGGCACGGCCTTCTTGACCTCCACCCGGTGGCCCTGGATAGGGTGGAATTTGACCACGGCCGCCTTGTCAGCGGCGTCGTGGTTCTGAAAGTAGACGAAGCCGAAGCCCCGCTTCTTGCCGCTCTGCTTGTTGGAGATGATCTCGGCCTTTTCCACGGGGCCGAACTGACTGAAGTGCTCCACTAGGTCGTTCTCCCCCAAGTCCCCCTTGAGGCCCCCGACAAACAGTTTCTTCACTTTCGCGTGGGCGCCGGGCCGGGCGGAATCCTCGCGGGAAACGGCCCGCTTCAGCTCCACCACGTTGCCGTCGACAGCGTGCGGGGAGGCAGCCATGGCGGCATCGGCTTCTTCCACAGCCGAGTATGTGACAAAACCGAAGCATCGGGAGCGCTTGGTTTGCGGGTTGAGCACAACCACACAGTCGGTTAAGGTCCCGTAGGCCTCGAAGTATTCTCGCAGCCCAGCTTCCGTCGTCTGCACATTCAGGCCGCCAATGAACAGCTTACAAAGCTGGGAGTTTTCCATGCCGGAGCCGCGGCCGTCAGACGCCTCCTCGCTGCTGCTGCCGCCGGTAGGGGGCAGCTGCCGCCGGACAAAAATCGACAGGCGCTACGAGGCAATGTTCCGTCGTGGGACAGCTCGGCCCAGCTCCACCGGCAGAGAACGGGAAAGGGGGTGGGGAAAGGAAACGTACAAAATGGCGGCTGCGACGGCGACTTCTACTCCTCCTCAGGCGCGCTCGCAGCCAGCCAGTGGTGCCCACACACAAAGGAAACGCCAAAGGGCCCGCCTTCCGTGGCAGTGCGAGACACACCTCCTTTCCAGGAGTGCCGACTGAGCCAACAACCATCCGCCATTGCCTTCCAACGTCACTACTGAATGACAGATCTCAAAACCAATCACCTTTTTTCTCCGAGCGACGATGCGCGTTTTAAAAAGTACGAGGCGGAGCGAATCCTTAATTGACGTTAGGAAAGAACCTATCACATTCTGCTTTAAGCAGTCGCGCATAAAACAAGCAATTTACGTACTGAGCCGAAATCTAAAGGAGACAAAAGCCACGCCGATACGCCCATGGCCAAAGGCATCAGCCAATAGGCTATCCCGCTTGTAAGCGCGCGCTTTCTCTTGGAGATCCCCCTTCTCCCTTGGGAGGGGTTGATAGCGCAATGAAGATAACGAGGTTTATTTGAAAGATTGAGCTCGTTTGGCCGTTATACGATGCCGCGTTCTGCCTTTCCCTAGCCTCCTTCCGAGCAAGAGTCTAGTAGGACAGCAAGCTTGAGCACGAATGAAAGCGAAGGCACCTGCATTGGCCAAAAAATCCATATTAAAGCCGTGCCTGTATTATATCAGCTAAAAATACATAACATGACGTACAAATGTTAAGTTTTTCAGGAAAAAAAAATTCCGAGAGAAAAAAGACGGGAAGAATAGAGTTGGATCCTTCCCAACTAGAGTGTGGTAGAATTGTCAAATTCTACCACATTCTAGTTGGGAAGGATACAAATTTTTTTCCCAAGGGTAAAGAAATAATCTCCCAAAACATGGGTTAAAGACTCTCAAAACTTAGAGGGAGAAAAGAAAAAGAAAAATTCCATATTGAAAAATATACTTCTTTTACGCAGTACTTATTCAGAATTTTGAAGATAATATGGCTTGTGTAATGTATTTCTCTACTACAGATTTTATACTTGAGATTGTAGATATATTATAAAAAGGTGGCTGATATCTGATTATGCTAACCTTCCAGTCAGTCATGTCAAGAAATAAAGGTAGTAATAAATGTTTAACTTGTCTACCTGTGATTTATCTAAATTATTGTTATTAAGTTTGTCTAAATTATTAGATTAGTTTATATTTCAGATTAAGATTATAGTGAAGGGAGTTTCTTGTTCACAACATTAATTACAATTTTATCTTTTGTTTATACATTATGGATAAAGCAGAAAATTCCATTGCCCTCAATAAAGAACTACTTATTTTAGTTGCATGCTGCTAAATCTTCTGACACTCTGTGGCTTACATCACTGAAACCATAGAAGTTTCAAAGGAAGGAAGGAACTTTCAAATTTGAGTATCAGGAGTACCAGAAAAAATAATTCAATACAGAGGAAAAAAAACTATTCATTACTCAATATATGCATTCATGGCATCAGCTAAACAATTCCTAAATGCCCTGCAGGAGAACTCCATTTTATTTATGTGTTTGTCAAATTTATATATTCACCCATCTCACATGAAGTGATTCTAGGTGGCATCATTTTAATCAAACCAAGAAAGCAATAGGTGAAAGTCTATCTTCTGAGGAAAAGCTGATCTAGACTGGAGTAATCTATTCTAATTAGCCACCGTCTTCCTTATTTAACAAAAATGGGATGCCACCGCATTTTCTCCTGGTAGGATCACAAAGCAGATCAGTTTTTAAAAGGAAAAGGAATAAAAATGCAAAGAAGAAAGTAAGAAAAAGAAAATTATATATAGGAAATGACTTCCAATCTTAATCACAAGAAGTAAAAACAAATTTAAGATAACTTTATTCCTTATGAGGGTGAAATATCTCTTCTATAACCCATTCCATATCAACATACAAGTCCATAAATTTAGTCTTGGTGCTGCCTCAAAACTCGGGCATCCCAAATGTGCATGGGATGAGAGAACACAGTTGGGAGAGAAAACACAGTTACCTTTGCAAAGAGGCTTCTTTCCCTCCTGAAAATAAAAATCAAGTAATTTAGGCAAAGCAAAAAACATTTATTAGGGGGAGGATTCAAGTCTTTTTATAGGATACAGAGACAAATTACATATACAATTATGCAGTGTATGTGATACATCAGTAAGTAAATGATCAAACAATAAAAATATTGATTGCATTGAAGTCTGAATAATAGAAAAAATTGCTTCTAGATAACATTCTACAAGTGATAAATGTATGGGTTATATTAGTTATTCCCAGCTAGGTTAGTATCTTTCTTGAAAGTTGCAAGTATACTCAAGGACTTTCAAAATACTCTTTCTATTGTGTGGTTGCTGAAAAGGCAAGCAAGTTCTGGCATACCAAAAGAAATGACCTTGGCTAAAAGAAAAACATGTTTTCTTATAGATAGAGAAGACGCTTAGACTGCCATGTTAAGAGTATCAATATCACCTTTTAAAATGCTAATAAAGAAGCTTAAAAGACAACAAACTTTTGCTGTATATTTCACAACATTTCAAGCCATTTCTATAATTACAAAATCATTCTATTCATTGAAACCTATCAATATTTATAATATATTATTATAATTATTATACTGTATTTCTTTTTGGACATAATCTATCCATAGAAGCAGACATGATTGCTGACATTTCTGATATTGTAGGTATTAATGGACCCATTCTTTGAAAATTGCCTGAATTTTATAGAATTATAGTGTTTTGTGCCATTTTGTAAATCCCCATGGTAACCAAATAGCAATGGTGTTTACACATTTTTTTTCTTTTCTTTCTGAAAACTTTATTCCCCTTTAGTGTCCAATTTCCAAAATCAAAGTCTCAAGCTCCTGTTCTGATTCAAGATAGTCAAAACATTCTGGTTTCCGTGAAATGCTGTTTATTTTATTTATTTCCCAAATCTTATAGCAAAAGTCTCAATATTCCAAAGTTTTCTGAATATTTAGTTCACGTAACTTTATTTGGTCAAAATCTTATTATTATTATTATTATTATTATTATTATTATTATTATTATTATTATTATTTAGCATTTTGCCATTTATTTCCAATTTGTTAAATTCTTAAACTTATAATTATTATTATTTTTTGCTCTGAAAGGAAGGTAAACTCACCACTGAAGTTTCTGGCAACTCAATAAACTGGAACCTTTCTTCTAAGCAGCCTCCATCTTTATTTCCAGCGTCTCAGCCTCCATTTTTTTTAATGTTTATTGATTTTCTAATTTTACATTTAAGTATTTAAAAAGCAACGTGGCGGCTGAATTAATCGATAATTCAATGACATACAAGTATTTTTAGTACAAGTCTCAAACTACCACATTAAATATTTCCTCTCTTTTCCCCTTGGTATTTACTGTCTCATGTTTAAACTAATACAGTTCTTATATCAATTAATTAAAAATAACATTCTTACATTTATCAATAATTTTTAGCTTATACATATCCTGGTTATTTTAACCTTCAGTCTTTATAGACAATCAATGTCCTAATTAGTTTTTCCCAATTTTTAGTTTCCCATTAATATTTAAATTTAACAGTTGATATTTATAATTTCCAAGTTTTAAATAACCAAAGTTCCCTTTATCACAATTCATCACAAAGTCTAATATTCAGGATACACGTCTTATCTATTTGAATATATTCTACTTCTGTCTATCTTACATCATCTAATTAATAATACCGTATAACATTCTTATTTTCTATTAATTTCCAAATGTCTTAAATTTAGTAACCAAAATTTCTCTTGTTTCAACATCAAATACTTCCTCTCTTTTTCTCTTAATGTCTACTATCTCATATTTAAGCTAGTACAGTTATTATTATATCAGCTACATTTATCAATAGATTTTTAGCTTATATATATCTTAAATTACTTTTACATTCAACCTTTATAAACAAATCAATATTCAAATTTAACTTTTAATATTTATACTTCCAAGTTTTAAATGACCAGTTTTCTTTATCTCAGTTCATAACAAAATCTAGTATTCAAAGTACACATCTTGTCTATTTGAGTATATTCTATTTTAATCCTCACTAATAAGTCAAAACCCCAATTCTCTTCAGCCTTATTCTAGCTTGCTTTCTTTGCCAACTCGCCTTCCATATCCGTGCTTTTAAGTCATCAAATAGATTTCCCTCTGTTATTATATATATTGTTTGAGATAAAAGAGGCCATCCAGTCGCCATTTTTTGGGGAAGGGCTAACAAATCATCTCTCTATTTTTCCATCTCAATGTAGTTGTCCTGAAATGTTTATCTTTCCTTCGGTCTGTTCTTCTTCTTGATCCTCAGGTTTCTTCTGGTTTATATAGAACGTCTTTTCCATTTTCAGTGTTGTCAGTCCCTTTTTTGGGTTTTCTGTTAACTGTTGATCAGCTGACTCTTCTATCATAATATTTGATTGTTCCACTTCTATTATATTCTGTGTAGTTGATTCTTTAGTTGTAATCAAAGTTTGGGTTCATATATCTAGGCTGGCATCTTGTTTTTTTCTGTAGCTTCTTATTTCATCAGAAGCTGTAAGAATTGCTTTCAACATAAAGAGAATCTGTTCCTGATCTTCATCCATGTTCTCTTAATGGTGTGTTAAATTAAAAGCTTTACAATCAGAGAATGAAAATAATTTTGTCACCGAGTATAGAACACAGCTGGGCTTCTCACAGCTAATATCTGCCAAGGTTGCAAAAGTCTTATCTATTGTCTGGGCTTCAAGCCAAGTCTCTTTTAGACAATAACAAGTTGTAATATCAAGTTTAGCCACAAGATATCGCCCATACCGTTTAAGAATTATTTTTTTTAGGTCCAAAAT